ACTAGTTTACAATTCCTCAGCTAATACCATAAAGTGTTGCTTTATACCTGATACTTATAATATCCTGAAGTTCTTTCCACTTGCTTTGTAGCTTGTTTCTTGCCTCAGAGAGAGAAGCCTGCTGCACTTCAGATACAAGATTTTCTAAGGTAGATGAGATGTTTTCCAGTTGTTTCCAACCAGAACTGATTTCAAGGTCTATCATTGCCTAGAAGACAAGCAGTTCTAATGCATTAATATGATCCTGTATTTCTCAGTGCACGCTTCACAAAACTACAGTCACATGAGTCCCTACAAGAACATCATCTGAAACTAAGAATACTATTGCCTTTTCTCCCCTTCAAGACCCAATTTTTAGCTGCATGCAAATTTCCAGCAACTTTTTATGGTGACAATTTCCATGTCAGATACATGCCTTGGCTATATTTTGTAAAAGGGTCAATAAAGAATGGGCCAGGCATTCATTAAAAGAATGAAAATATCTCCACCTAGCTATGTTCAGAAGAAAAACAAATGTAGAACTGAACAAGTTCTGAGATTTTTGATATGGCTTTGTAGTCCTTTCAAGAAAGGCTGTGAAAAATTGCAGTAATAAACTTTTCAACATCAACTCTGCCTTTTGTTGTCGCATTAAAAATCTCACAAACTTAACCAAGTTACATATCCTGGAACAGTTTCATTCTGCACAAACACCACTTGGTGGTTCAACTCTGATGACAAACAAAAAGCTCCTTTCTGCAGTTTTTTTTTCCCCATTACACCTATTTCAGCATGCAGACAACAAACCCAGAGCCACCAATTTCTTCTTTCAGTAACACCTGCAAAGCTCCACTGCTAGGCAGCAATGCAGTTTTGTTGAATCCTAAATCCTTGATTTCCCATCTTCTAACACATATGGTTGCAAGGATGCTGTATGTAACAGAGAAATGAGTGCTCTATGTGAAAAAATAACAATTTAGGCACCAGGTATATTTGTAAAAGATGAATACTTGCCTCTAGTTCAGTCACTTTAAAGTTAAGGCATGAAGTGCCTTTTATTTCATCAGTAAAGTCAGATGCTACTTTATCTCTGCAGAGTTGTAGAAGTTCCTCCAGGTTACTTCTTTGTTTGTTAAAGCTAAGGAAAGATGCAAACACTTTCAGAGAGAATATTACTTTTAATTAAATGGAACATCTCAGGGTATGGGACTCATTAACCAGAGTACCATAAAAATAAGCACAGATTATTGCAAATACATATGTTATTTAAGTCCAAAATGAATGAATAATGCATAAATGAGCAACATATTGAAGAGATTGCTCATATGGCTAATCTTCAAATCTAAATGCCAGCCTGCATTCTTGAAATTCAGTTTAACAAATGTAAAAATGTCAGTTCTCTAATAAACTTGACACATTTCTTTATTTTGCAGTATTTGAGGTTAATAGCAAGGCAGATGCAGACTTTCCTAGCCCATGAAAAGAAGTAAAATATTCATAGATAAAAATGTTCTTGCTACAAAATCCTAATGCTTGAAACAATTAGTTACTGGAGTGCTTCCTTATAAATTACAGATCAATATTCAGTAAACTGTAGCAGAAAAAAGAACAGAGTTCTGCATAGCAAATGTGTTTGGTACACTCAATTGATTTGTGAGGTAATTTGTCTAGCACACCTTAACAACCATGCTTTTTTTTTTCTTTAAAAATTACCTCTCTAACAAAGCTGGTATTGCTGGATCACCATCCTCCTCCAACTTGTCTGCACAGCTTTCCCCATTGTGATGATTCACATCTGGTTCCAAAACTGTATCTGCAGCAGGTCTTGAGGTCTGAGTAAAAATAAAAAGGGTGACAGTGACCTCCACATCATCCTGTGTAATACACAGCAAAGCCCAACAATCATCTGTGAGCCCCTGAAAGAAGGGATTGCTTGATGTGTCCCAGAGGAGGTAAGAGATGCCATTCATGAATTCAAGAAGTGTTTAATTCAATCACAAGCCCAAAGAGTAAATTCTGGAATGCTTGCAGCCAGCTCATTGATTCTTTTCACAGATACAGACAAATGCCTCCAACTCTTCACTAGGTCTCTCTCTGTCCTCTGAAAATTCTTCACATTACTGGGACACTACTTGAGCACAGCTTCCCACATGACCCTTTCAGCTGAAAATTACTCTTTTGCAAAATATAATTCCAGGCTGGAGGCTCATGTCTTCTCAGGATGTCCAGTGCTGCTGCTTGCATGTTAATTTTTAATATTTACTTAGTCTACATTCATAAGCACAATGGGGTTTTGATTTCTAACCAGAGGCCCAAGGTCTTATCACAATAAAAACAGTAAGAGAAATAAACACTTTTTCCTCTTGGCAATGACCTCCCTTTGACAGAGCACTGTTTTCCAACAGTAAGTCTGGGCTTCTTACCTCCTGTACCATAAGGCTGTCAACTTCTTGAGAAGAACCAGACTCTTCTCCATTCTCAGAAGCCATAATGGAGCTCCTACAAGAACAAAATATTAAATATAAAGGGAAAAAAGAAATCCTAGCCCAAGGTTTAAAACAGCACAGCTGTGATGAAGGATAATCAAATGTTGTACTTGACAGTTTATGAAACTTAATACTAAGTGTTTAAATGCACAGCTGGCCACAGTAATGTACATAGCTATGCATTACCAAAACACATTAGAGTATCCCAAAATTTATGTGTAAAAATGATTTCTATAAAAACACTCCATGACTCAGCCACCCACCCTTTCAGAGGGGACTGTCCTTTCCCAAGACGAGCCAGCAGTGCTGTGTAAGTGTCTGCCACCATTTGCTGAACCTTCTCCAGCCTTTTTTCACAGTCTGCAGTGAGTGTCTGTATCCCTGGGACAGCTTCTTCTGAGAGTCTTGCCAATGTTTTAAGGTCTTCCAAAGACTTGTTAAGTTCCTTCATGCTGCCCTCGTGTGAAAAAAAGGCCTAAACAAAGAAAAAACAATATAACAGCCCTTGTTAAGACATGAGGATAAACAATTATTCTCATGTATTTTTTTATATTTCCATTATCTTCTTGGTTGAGTGTTCCTAAAAGTCTAAGCTGTCAAACCAAGGATCACACACTTATTTTCTCTTGGTTCTTTCTAAAATAGAGCCAGAAGTTAAATTAGGATTCTGGCAATATCATGTTCCTAATGATAGTCACAGGACTACACCGACTCTCGCTTGATTTAGGAATTCATTATGTTCTGTAATTTTTAATTTTGGTCTCAAGTCTTCTTCACCCTGATATCAGATAGAAGTGTCCTACTGACTACAGAAAAAGTAGAATATTTTTTAAATATTCCTTGTCAATCATCATACTTCCTAGGGTGAATTCAAGATACACTAAAAATCTGTGAGAAAAAATGGAAAAAGGATACCACCTATTTAACAAGGGGTTACTTCTAAAAGTCTGCAAGAAGATTAATAAACAGTCAAAGAAGGTGAAGAAATAATTTTGTTGGCTTCTTGCTCTGTATTTACATAACACAGAGCACAAGGGCTCTGCTCCACAGATAATGAACCTAAAAAGGATGAAGAAGGACAGCAAAGCAGTCACAAAGAGAGGCAGAAAAAGAGTGTATCAGGTACCTCATGCTCCTTGATGAGCCCTTTGGTTTTATCCATACTTAGGAGTTTCTTCTCTTTGCCTAACTGCTTATTGATTTTTTTAAAAGTTGCATTAAATTTCTTTTTTTCCCTTTCTACTATGAGCTGGACATAGGATACGAATTCCCGAACAACCGCCCGCAAAAAAAAAAAGAAAGTGGTTCCCAAGAAAAGGGGAAAAAAGGGTAAAAAACAAAGAAAAAAACAAAAAAAAAGGGGCCAAAAAAAAAACGGCCTTCAAAAAAGGCCAAAGAAAACAAAAAAGGGAAGCCCAATCCCGCCCTAACCCAACCCCCAACCCCCAACAAAAACAACCTCCAACAACAACCTCCCAAGAACAAAAGAAAAAATTTTCAACAAGTCAACCGCCCCCAAAAAACTGGCAAAAAACTTAATGGCCAAAACAATAAAAACCTCCCGAAAAAAAAAAAAAAAAAAAACAAAAAAAAAAAACAAAAAGAAAAACAAAAAAAAAGGAAAGGAAACTAATTAAACAAAAAAAATAAAACCGGAACAAGGAAAAACCGGGAAAAAAACAAAGGAAAAAACAAAAAAAAGGGGGGGGGGGGTCCGCCGGGGGGGGCCAAAAAGGCAATCCCCAACCCCGGTCAACCGCAAAAAGGTGCAAGAACAAGGGGGGCCTTAAGGAAAAAAACAAGGGCCGCCCCTGGAAAAAACTTTAAGGGAAAAATTGGGAACAAAAAAAAAAAAAGAAAGGCAACGAAACCCGCCCCCTCCCCAAGGAAAAACCGAAGCCGGAACCCAAGAACGGGAACAAGGAAAAGGCCCCAACAACAACAAGGGAAGGCCCGGAAAGAACCCCGGGAACCCCCCGGCAAAAGGGCAACCAACCCCCCCCCGCCAAAACAAGCAAAAAAAAATTTGGAAAACTCCAATTCCGAAAACCCCTTAAGAAAAGCAAAATTTGAAAAAAGAAAATTGAATTAACAAACAACCCCCGGGAAAAAAAAGAAAATCAAGAATTAAAAAAAAACCCCCAAAAAATCAAGCAAGGCAATCCTGAAGGGAAACCTAAATAATAAACAAGGAAAAAAAAAAAAAAAAAAAAAAAAAAAAAAAAAAAAAAAAAAAAAAAAAAAAAAAAAAAAAAAAAAAAAAAAAAAAAAAAAAAAAAAAAAAAAAAAAAAAAAAAAAAAAAAAAAAAAAAAAAAAAAAGCCGGAAGTCCGAAAAATTTGAAGTCCGAAGGAAGAAAGGAAAAAATTAAGAAAAGGCAACGAAAAAAACGCCAAAAAAAATTAATTTTCCTCAATCAAAGTGGCCGCCAAAGTAAAAAAAGGCCAAAACAAAAAAAGTAACAAAACAATAAAAACCAACAAAAAAAAAACCTCAGTGTTTTTCTTACTTCAGACTTTTAGAGACCACATAGCCCTCAGAAATACTCAGATGCAGCTGGTTCAGAACACAAACCCACCTCGTATCTTGAAATACATCCTTCAGGACCTAATTTTTGACTGACAAGTTGCACAGCCTTCGAAATGGAGGCCTCCAGCTCTTTCTGCGATTCTTCAAAATTGAGCAAAGCCTCCTTCTCTGAGGGTCTTTTCTCAAATTTGGACAAGATGTTGTTCAGGTCACCCATGACAGCCTTGGAAGAAAGAGACTTTTCAGAACACACCTGAGTGTCAGTAATTAGACAAAGTTATTGCTTCATAACATCACTCAAGTTTTTCAAGTTGAGATACTGATCTTGGAAATGCTCTAGATTTTGCCCTGACAACAGTCTGGGAGACTGATTCCAATAGTATAAAACTTTTTCTATTTTATATGACAGACAAAGAGTCCTCCACATTCCACAATGCTAAAATTAAAGATATCTGTGTGTTTATTAAAAATTACCTCTACTTTGTCTCTGGCTTCTTTAATTCGTGCCTCCAGCTCAGTGGTGTGAGAATGCTGCTGAAACACCTGACTTGAAACATTCTGCCTCAGAGATTGCAATATCTCTTCTGCTGCCACAACTTGGTCTAGGCACGAGGATCCTCTTGCAGCCCAACTCTGGTTTGAACAAAAAGCATTAGAAGCCTTTACAAGTGTTCATTTGTATTTTTGTTTAAACAAACTGAGTAAAAAAGCCAGCCTTGATCATGGATGGCTGATACATGGTAAAGGAGAACCTTACATTCCAGTTATGGTCAGTGTACTGCACTGTAAAATCTCTGTGTGGAGAGAAAGAAATCTGCTGCCATCCACAGGGGACTGTGTTTGCTGAAGCAATTTCTTTCTGTCAGTGCAACACCTCCCATGTCCTTGCCACAGAGCCAATTAAATGTTTTTTTTAAAATGTGCTCTCATCCAAACAGCTTCCCAAACGAAACCACACATTTGGATATGCAGCATCTGATCATGAAGTCATCCAAAAGAGAGCACACACCAAGGCTCAGATTTCCTTGCAGCATCCAGTACTGCAAGGCAGGAAAGCAGCTGGGTGCTCTGCATGCAGGAGCAGTGTGACACGTTTGAATATTTATCATGGAAAGTCGTTATTAGAGCTGTTTCTATCTATGAATATTCAACACATTTCTCCTGCCTGAAGTTGTCAATTAGCATTCTCCTAATCATAATCAGAGCTTTATTCTGGATCTTGACCTACTGTACTGCTGCTAACGAGCAACTTGATCTCTCCTGTCCCCAGACATGGAGATACAATGCCAGCCACATGTTTGGAGGCTGCATTTTAGGGCGTCCTTTGATATTTCATGTTTTTTTAACAAACTAGAGTCACACTGAAATAGGAGGTTTGTTTTACAAACATTTGCTCATCATTACAAAAAGATCAACTGTATCTTTTCATCTCTCACATTCCCAAACCTGTCAGGTAAATGTTGCAGTAAAAAGGGACAGAACTTTTGATTGTCCCTAGAGAAAAGCTGAATTTTTATTGTATAGTTCATATTTTCATAGGAATATCAGAAAGCAGTGTGTTCAATATAATTGCTTAACAATACACTGCTATTCAGTTTATTGGTTGGTAAATGGCTAGGGTGTATGTTTATGAAACTTCTCTAATTTTGGTTAATTTACATATTTTCTTCATGGATTCTCATGGGATAGACTCTTTGTTTTTGTAGGTGTGAACAGTTCTCTTACCAGAATAGATTATTGTCTTAACTGATTCTAATTTTTATGTTTTTTTCACATGGGAACTCAGAAGCTAGCTGCTAGCTCAGCTAGAGTAGTAGTTTCTCCCAAATTTGCTCTAAACCAGGACCAAGTGCTTAAACTATATTTTTACAGAGCTTTTCTTTTTTAAGTTATTACCTATATGCAACAGCTAAACACTCTGCAAGAAGGCACAAAGCAAGAGAAAACTAACACTGATTCTGGTACACAGTTACTGCATATAGATTAAATTAAATAAAGAACATTTCTGTTTATTTACAACAGTTACACATAGGAGTGTCAATGAAACCTCCTGGTGGTCACTTTCATGCCATTAGGTTGTACAAGCCCTGTTGCAGATGTAGTAAAGGCAACATTAAGACAGTGCTTCAACTTTTTCAGTGCAAAACCTGGCATCTTTATTCTCTCTTACCTTCACTGGCAGGTGAAGAAAATAAATCAAACTTTGTATTGAAGCTGCAGAGTTATATACACAGATTTTCACCTGCCATCTGCTGGGAGCTGGGGGTAATCCCAGGCAGAGAGACATGGGAAATCATAGTGACTAGTGGAGTTTCTTGTTAGAAATTAATTTGTGCTCTTTGAGAATATTTCTAACAACTGCCTGTAAAATGAGATTCCCAAATTACCCCACGTGCTGCTGAAAATACTTCAAGTATCCCAGCTTTTGATGGAATTTCAGCCTTGAATATAGCCAAGGTGCCTCAAACCTCCTCCCTACATTGGAGGGTAGATGATCAAAGACCTCCTGTATGACCAGGGCAACTAATCAAATTGGCAACTTGCAGAGGTCTGGTCTGCTCTAAGGGCTGACAGGAGTAATTAATATCACTCAAGAACAAGCTGCTAATCAGTGGTACCAACAGCATTTCATTGGCACCTGCTGGTCATCTGGACACACTGATGGTGGAGGACTCACTCACAGCTCATCTGGCAGTGATCCTCAGAAGTAACAAGGCACAAGCAGTGTCTTAACTTTTTACAAGTATTACAGCACAAAATCCACACTAAGATCCACTTCCCTGATGATGTCTCATTTTATCCCAGCCACAAATCCATGCTGCAAGATGAGAATCTGAGGAACAAGTATTTTAAGCTGCATTTTCACCTGCAAATATTCCTCCATCTCAGGTTCCACAGGCTCCTCGTGACTGATCTTGCTAAGCACATGTCCCATCTCTGCTGCCCAGCTGTCCACCCCTCCAAGGAGCTCTTCAACTTTCTCCAGGCTTCCTGGAAACTCTGTGGTCTTCTCAGCAGCATTTGTGCTCTCCTCTCCAAGCTATCAACAAAGAGCAGGGTAAGATGTTCATTCCCATCATCTCCCCACTGCCCTCCTCCAACACAGTCACCACTTGGGGCACTTCCCAGCTCTAGCACTCAACAGGGATCAAAGGAGAAATAAATGCCAAACATAGTGATAAATAAACCAAATGAGGCTCAGTTCCTCAGCCCTGAGGGCAAGTAGGACAGCAAAACCTGTGCCATACACCCTGTCCCCTTGTCCCCCTCCCTTATGAGCAACCACAATACTATGGAGAATGGGCTGCAGCATCCCCCAGCCCACACCAGGGAATTGTCCAAGATAACAGCAGCTGGTGTTGGTCAAATCAAGATCAGAAGTGTGCTGACAATTCAATGGTACAGGCAGTCACAGGCCAGAGCTCAAGCATTTGGGCTGCATTTTATATAAAAAATAAATATAATATATATGATAGCTATAATGTCCAAAGCAATGCCACAAAAATAACTCAGGGAGTCCTTAAGACCTCAGACAGGCTTCTTGCACCTTACTGCTCTGATTCCTCAATATATTTCCTTGAAGCAGCTCTTATTAAGGGTTTTTCTAACAAACTCCAGATTTCCCTTACCCTTTGATTGCTTCCTTTGATTTTATTGCATTCTCACTAAGCTCATCTCCTCAAAAATCTAGCAGTAATATTTTGCCACTGTTTACTGTCACAGCAGCACCTTTAATAAATGTCAATGAAAAGCTCAACTCAGAAAATTAAGAGCTCTAATATTCCCAGGCAGAGTGAAAATGTCATTCTAGAGAAAGCATTCTAGGAAATGCAATATGTGTAACATTAGGCAGGTTGTATAGGGATTTACAGCAGCATAAAATCCTGCCAAATGAGCTGGTGAAAAATTGCACAACCTTAGAAATAGCTATGTAGCAATAATTACTTTCTACCACTTAAAACAGACACTGTAAAATTTAGCAGAGGCTAAATTGATTACTTGCACCCCTAGCACTGAATTAAGAGCTTTATTCTGCAATAAGATTTCCTTTTATAAGTAGTTTTGAGATTTCAATTTAAAATTTGAACATTTTCCATCCTGTTATAATGAGAATTTAACTGAGTCACAAAGATTAAGAACGGGATGCTGCTGTGTACTCTCTGTTCCTCAAGCTTTAAAACTGGCAACCTTGAGTTGACTGAAAGATTGATCAAGCTCTGATTAGCTGGTAAGTCTAGAAAAGATGACTTTGAAGGCTGCATGGCAAAGAGTAATAGTAACTTGTAACTCACAAAGTGTGTCCTCTTCATGAACTTTGCCCATCTCCTGTTCAGTTTCTTCAGCTCTTTGGCAATATTTGATCCAACTTGCTCTTTGCTGACTTCAATGAGATGGTTTCCAGCTTCATTTAAGGAACCATGAATCAAATTCCTCTTTGCCAGGATCTCAGCAGGGATCTAGACAGAGGCATTGAAATAATTTTAAGCAGAACCCAGTCAAACATTTATTTCCAAAATGAAAAGCAGAAAAGCAACAACAGCAGCCACTGTGAGATTTAATGGTCTTTTTACAGGAGGCTTTGAAGTATCTCTGTCAAACAAAGAGAAACCCAACCATGTACCTCTTTCGGATCCTCATTTCTGTTTTCTTCCAGCCACGTTTTTAGTAAGTGGATGTTTTCTGTGTAATTACTCCAGGAGGACAGGACTTTCTGTAGGGTGGTGTTTACATTGGAAATATACTCTTTACATGTAGAAATCTTTGACTCCACTGTCTTCAAAAGTTTGCTGATTTCTTCAGGATCTCCAGCTAGGACGTGAAATAGGGATGATTGTTATATATTTGGAAACAGAGAGATTAATTATACAGAAACACTGTTTACATGGAACAGTAGATGGAATTAAAACTGGTGGCAGCACTTTACTTCAAAATACAGATCTTCATATCAATTTATGTGCATGAGCTTACCCAAGCCAGGACCACTTATGTTTTTCAAGTCTTCACAGATGTGAGTAGCCATGTCTAGTTGTGTTTCAAGTTTCTTTTCTTCAATGAAATTCTACCCAAAGAGAAAAGTAATTGATACAGGTAACACTGAATGACACAAAACTGGGTAGAAATACAGCTTGGAACACTTTTTTTCAATATGAGCCTACAACCTACAGCTTAAACATAAACTGAGCAAAGCCCACCCAGCAACTCAGCTGCACCCTTTAGTGTGAAACAAACTTGTTCTTTTACTCTGCTTGTGCAGAGAGTAAAGTAAACAGAGCTATGAATACCTGAATGCCACTGCCTGAGCCACAACCCTGCATGAGTCAGAACTGCTTGCTTCAAAAAGTTACAGCCCCAGGGCAATACTGAGAAATGGCATCTAGAACAAGTCAGGCACAATTTAGTCACATAAGCCAAGAAAGTGATGAAAGCAAAAGGTGGGTTTCCCTGCATGGACAGAAATATTGAGGTGTCTCTTTCCTGACAGATCAAAACAAACTGGGGATGGAGAGGGTGAAAGAGGAAGAACTGGGAGCAGAGGAGGAGACTTGTGTGTGCACAGGGAATGAGGGTTGATCCTCAGCCCCTCTCTGTCTGAGCTCCCCCCTCCTACAAATGTCCTACCCAGCAGGGTACAAAACAACCTCCCTTGTGACTATGACAAAACTGGGCCCTAAACCCTAAACAAGCCCTGAACTCCCTGGCAAAGCTCTGCATTCTATCAGCTTGAGCAAGACCATGAGCCACAACTGTAGAAATAACATGATAATAAGTATTTATGAAACCAACTGAACCAACAAACTCAGCACAGATTAACTCTGCACGACCATCTGATCACAGGGTGAGCTTGACACTGCTCAGGAAATTGCTGTTTTATACAACCTATTGTTGCCTCCTTCCACAATACTGAGGCTGGTAAAATTCCCACTAATTTAACTGTGGATTTGCCAGTCTGAGAATCCTCTGAGAAAGTCCATTAAGATGGAATTCACAAGGAATCCTATTAACTCCAAATGGGGAAAAAACTGGAGGCATCAGCATTTTCACCTCTGCCTCTACTCCTGATTCAGTATACTTTGTCAGTATTTGGGGTTGGGCAATGTATCTTCTCCTAAAAACCTACATCAGTTTCATAACTTGAGTCCAGAAACTGAGCTAAGCATAAAGTGTAATAGAACAAGACAATTCATATTCACCAGAAAGCATAAGGAGGCAAAGAAGCTGGGAAAAAGGAGAGGCAGCAGTGTGAGTAATGGCTGGTTTTGAAGACAGCAACTATTGAACTACCCCAGAGAGGGTGCTGTGGATTGGAGCTAGGGAAGGGATGCCACAGCTGGCTCTATAAATAATCTAGAAAGAAAGAAATGTTCACAATAAAGAATAAAAACAGGCAGAGAGAAAATCACAGTCATGGCTTGCATTACTTCTCCAAACTGAAGAAAGAAATCTCATTCATAGCAAAATGGAAGATGCTGGGACAAGGAAAGCTTCTAGGGAAGTCTACCTGCCCTTCTTTGAATAAATCTGAGATTTCACCAATCCACCATGCTTCTGACAACTATAATATCTTCAGACGACATAAGAATGAATCAAAGAGAGCTGGGAAAGAATTACCATCAGGGTGTGATACATATATCTGAAACTTACATTCCAATTTTCCAGTAGTGATTCCACAGACTCTTTTGCCCCATATTTCACATCCCAGATATTTAGCTTTAACTTCACCTCATTGGCAATGGCTGAGCACAGTCCATAGTGATATTCAAGGAAAGTGCTGGGGTTTGTAGAACGAATATTGGTAAATCTGCAAACAGAAAATAGTTCCAAAAGTTTATACAGAACCATTGGATACAAAAGGCATTAATTTATCAGGATTTTATCCTAAAAATTAAAAATTATATTTATGTAAACTTTTTGGGTTTTTTTGTTATGACAGGAATTAATAGATAAGATAGCAAAGTTCTTTTTTTTTAAGCAGCAACAATTGAACAAGCAATGTTGTCTGCTCAATGTATGAAAAACCTTAAATGCCCAAAAAAGGGGCATCTGCCACCTGTATGTCAAAGCATCTCAGGTTATGGATACAGATTCACTGGTCATTTTTTGAAATATCCTCCAACAGGTATTTGGGATAGTACAAGCCAAAGATCACAGTGATTTTTAATGGTGGAAATAAAAGTTTAGAGAATCCCTGCCACCAGGGAAATTTTTACATTGAAAATATTCAAGTTTCCTATCCCTGGTGGCTGTTTCCTATCCCCACTAGCAAAGGGCATCTGAAAAGGTCTTGTTAATGAGCTCTACTCTGTACACACACTTAAACATTCATTGAACCAGTGAGAGATCCCTGCCTGCTCCACTTGACAGCCAGCCTGTGTTTAGGTCAAAAATGCTCTTTTTTTTGCAAGGCATGGATAAATTATGCGTTTTTGTTCAGAACAGCAGAGCCAGTCAATAGCAGAGCTAGAATACAACATGAAGTAGAGGGAATTTGAGCATCACAACCTTCTTTTCATTTCCTCTAATTTTTCAGGCAAGACTAGTGGCATATTCTTCTCATCTTCATTCTTAAATGACTGAAGGGTGTCCAAGTGAGAATCAAAACAATCCATCAAGCCCTGGGAAGAACAAGACACAGTAAGCCATTCATTCTGATCTAGAGTATTTCACCTGGGAATCTCCAACTCACCTACTGTTAGGGAAAGAACTATTAAGAAATAGCACAGGACAACCTCCCAGTGTCTTTACTCATTAAAGTGCAAAATAGGTATTTACCTAAACACCTTCTGAAGTGCATATTTAGTGCAATACTACCTGATTTCTCTTATCACTGTGCATCTACTTAAATATAAGGACCACAGACCTTACACTACTCCTGCTATCAGTTTCTTTTCTGCACTTTCACTATCATCTTTAGGAGAAAAAAAGCATCATTGTAATAGCTTCAGGGTATCAAGTTGTTCTTTGCTATCCCTTAGCAAAGACTGGCAGCAAAACCTGTTGAATAAATCTATAATGTCACCTGCTCCATAGTTCATTTCACCGCTCAATAAATCAGTGTCTAACACCAGGCTGACAGTGTATCAAATTAACCATTCAATGGCCAGTGTCCCATGATTGGTAATATTTTACAGGCATGTGTCTCAGCACCAAATTCCCTACCTAAAAGTAAAACATAATATGCATTGCACAGCAGAAAAGCCTGTTTCTCACTGGCATATTTAAAAAACCTACAAGTCCATTTCAATGTCATTAAATCTGCCACAAAGCATGTTAATAAGAATGGCTAAACCCTGGAACAGCCCTCAACCACAAAACAGTGCACAGATTTTTAACACTGGATTTTGTAATATTAACACTGTATCAGTTGGATGGTTATGAGCATTGGCGGACAATTTCCAAGATTTTAAGTAAAATTTGCATTATAAGGTACCACCTTGCCAATATCATCATTATACACAACATACAATAAAAGGGGAAAAAGTTCTCAGCAGGATGTCTTCTCATCAAGAAAAGTGGATTTGGCAGAAATTAAGCATTAATATGTTTCCTCTTCTGAAGGAATGCCATTATTTTATCTATATGCTTAATGGGAAAAAATAAATGCCTTAAGGAATGACATCAGTCTCTACCTTATTCTTTAAAATGCTTTAAGTACTTAGGTTGCACAACAAAAATCTTAGGTCAAATGGCTAAAGACTGACAAAGCCATCTCTCATATCAGGAACTGACTAGAAACAGCACAAAAAAGTGGTGTTATTAAGCCACTTGCAGTGCCACTAAGACACTGCCCATTCTCTCAAATTCTCTTTAAAGGACAATCCCACAAAACCAGCAAGCTTGTTTATAAAAAACCCAAGTATGACATTATGATCACCAGCCAGGCATCAACACATATACTCTTTCAGAACTTTCAAACTCAAAAAGATATTTGAACTATTATATGTGCAAATATTTGAAGATCAGAATAAATAACTTCCATGGTACAAAGGTATCAAAATATCCTTGCCTTGAATGGAACTACAGAGTGATTCAGAAAATATTTAACTTTAAACACACAACCTTCTTGAACTCCCTGGAATGTAACCTTAAGCTCAAGTGCTTTTCTGAATAGGTATGCATTAAAGATTTTAAGAAAAAGATGCAATTATCTTGTGTTATTAATTAATAAACAAACAAGCTGCAGGAACCACATAAAAAAGAATAGCATAATTTATTCATTCAGGCAGTACTCAAGTTTAATCTCACCCCAGTGAAGTCTGAAACCTGCCTTATAGACCCATGCAGTTATTTAATTAAACTTCTAATTCTTCAAAGGTATGTTCAGAAGAGCTTTTCATCTTCAGAAGACAAACATATGCACACCACTTCCCAAAATGTCAAACAGCAATTCCATAACAAGTGCTTTGCCGGGTCAAACTGAAGCAGAATTTCCTTTGTGATCAGCATACCTTAAATATTACAATTATTTCTCTGAAGACAGACATTGCTTTGAATGGGTCTTGCAAATCAGGCAAATCTTCTGCCTGCAGACGTTCTACCTCCTGGAGCCAAGCCTCAATGCTTCCCAGAGGGGAGGGCAACATCTGGTCCAGCTTCGCTTTCCACTCATTCATCTTGAAAAGGAAAACAAGTGGATTAAATCTCTCACTATTATTTCCTTCCCCACCTCCAAGATGCTGATATAAACTGCATAAGCTGGAGCTCAAGACATCCCAGGAACCCCATCCCTCATGCCCATCATGTTAAAAAAAAGAGCTTTCAGCTAAAATCAGCCCTGTTTACCTCAAACCCAGGTTGGCTCCCACTCCGTAACCTCTGCAACACCATGGAGAATTAGGCATTCCTATCTTTTGCTGGTGACCATCCCAAGGCCCAGCAACAGGAAAATTTATAGTGAACTAGTTGCAAAAACAGAGAGGGGAACAGAGATGAACAGATTTCTGTCATGGGGCTGACAGGGGAACATCTCTTCCAAAAACAGCAATTCCCAGCACGGCCCTACACATCCCAAATTGAGCCAGCACAGCCAACCTCACTGCAAAGCACAGACCAACCAGGCCCCACTAGGTCAGTATCTGTGCTCTGAGCCACAACTGTGTCCCAAAATAACATTTTAAGCATAAATAGGCTAAAAACTTAGATCAGAAGAGTGCTCTGAGATAACCAGATTCATTTTCCAGGGATGTTTCAGTCTTGAGGCTCAGCAGGCAGAAGGGTAACACACAAAAATTCACTTTCTGCCTCCTCTTGGGCACTGAACGCCACTCAGACTGTCTGGACTTCAGGTTCAGGGTCAAAGCTCCTTTATCATCCCAAATAAAGTATCATCCCCCCACTTTTCCCAGTGTGAGTTCCTGGGGTAGACTCAGGCTTCTTCATCCATCACATGCTCATGGTGGCAATGGGGTGAGTGAGAGAGAAATGCCTCTGACCTGAGAGATCACTGTATCCCACTCTTCCCTCATCTGCTGCTGGCCTTCACTCAGCTCAGCTTCACCCCTTTTTGATGACAACACAGGCAGAAAGGGGATCTTCTCTTGGTTAAATGTTTCCATAAATGACATCATTTCCTAGAGATAAAATAGAAGAGTAATTCACAGAAGACGTCAGACGGAAGCTCACAGAGCCAAGTCCTGCCTTTGAGCACACTGGTATGAGTTCCATTAACTTCAAAGGGTGTGAAGCATGCAAAGGCAAGACAGTAAGAGGCATTCCTGTCTGCAGGCAATATTTGGGTCTGAAATTATAGGTGCCATTCCCTAAGTCTGTATTTAACATAATGTCAGTGCAGTGAGAACACAGTTCTCCCCTCCCAGCAAGAGAAAGGGAAAATTCCTCCTCTCACAGCTCCCCATGGGCCACTTTAATACAAACTCTGGCTACAATATAAGCCAAAGGAAATTTTGCTTCAGCACAACCTAGAGCCAGCAATTCAACTGCTCCTCTGTAACATTAGCTGGGTAAAACCTACTGCAATTAGCACAGAAATTACAAAAGTAACTCTGTGAAGGGCCTACGTGCTTGAAACTTGTCCAAATCTTCAACTACATCAATTAATTAAGACACTACTTTACTCTTTCCAAAACCTTTGCGCAAAAACGAAATAACATGTTTCATAACAGAGAGAATTTTAATCTACCTTTCCTTCAACCATATGAGGAATTTAACAATTTCATCATCAGATTTCCAAGTTTTCTTTAAAAGCTTATTTAACACTTCAGTTTAGGAAATAAAGATGAAAATTATTAAAAACATTCACAGAAACAGATTCTTTCACAGAACATGAAATGCAACTTACTTTGTACTTCTGGCAGTATGTTTCATCCTCTGTTTCCACCAGCAGCTTTGCTAACTTCTTCTCCTGTTCAGCCAACCAGCCCATGGCCTCTCTTACTTTCTCCTGGTAATTAGAGCAGAAAATTTCATTTTTCCATTTTGCAAGCATTGTTTTTAATTTACACTGTGCTATAAAACAACACTCATTGATCATATGATAAAGTCCATTCAAAGCTATTGAAAAACAAATAAAAATTCCTGGGGACCTTGATGAGTTTTGAGTCAGGCACTATTACATTGCAGGGGCAAAGTTTTAAACCTGGCACCTGGATATATGAAGACAAAAAATATACATATATATACATTGATATATATGATATATCAAAAAAAGACCTGACTGCAGTTCTACTGAAAGGAGATTAGCAGTATGTGAATAACTAATTAAACCCTCATAAGAAAATATAGAGAACAGAAAATATGGGTTTCTGGGTCAGTGTTATCTGTCAGAGGCAACTTCTGTCTACTTTATACGTCAGTTACCAAATCTAAAATAAAAGCTGGTTGTTCTGTGCATCTGCACATCTGTCTGCCTCTCCTCCAATGTTTACACAGACTTCAGAATACACGTGAAGACAACCAAGCTGGAAAATGTCCTCTGCAATAGTTAAATCAAAAACCTGCAGAGCAATTCCACCTGTATGACCAACCAAAAATCTGTTTGGTCATGGAGTTTTTAACATGGAGTTTTTAACACAGGAGCATCAGAAGGCTCAAACCAATTCAGTCCTGTCAGTAACAGAATCAGAGGATCTACCATGTGCTACTGACTCAGATATAAACTGGGCAAAGAAAGCACATTCCTTTGAAAATACCCCAGTGATAACCCACACAACATACCTGCACGTCTTCTTCAGACTCAGGCAAATTCTTGGAGTATTGCAAAAACTGAGCCACATAAGTCATGATTGATTTTTCATCTGGATTCACAGTGTCAACATCTACAAGAGCCAATACACCATTTACATAATTATGCAGCCTTCTAGGCCTGATCACATAATTACACACTATGCTGCAGTTATTAAAACACATTACCATAAACATGTTTATTTTGCAACAGCTCACTTAACATGCCATTGACAGAAATTAATATGCCATGAACATTTTTTTTCCTTGGGAATATTTTAATAGAACATGATTGAGTAATTAAAAAGTTTCTCCCACAAAGAGGAAAGTTTCATATCCCTTCTTCTGCATATTGCTCCTGCAATTGTTGCCAATTCAAAAATCCTACAGTCCCTAAGTACAGCTGATGTTAATTAGAAAATAAAGAACCTCAGGTTTGAGCATTACAGCAAACATCAATGTTCCATTTCAAACTTAAGCTGAGTCTTAATAGAGCACATTAATCTCACTCCTAATAACAAAGATTTTTAAAAAGCTGATCATGTACCTTCAGGCTCCAGAAGCCGTGGGATGTTCAGCTCCAGTTCTGCAATTCTGAAAGCCTCTCTCAGGTTTTCTTTATTGCTTCTGGCTTTTGCCTTCTCCAGATCAACCAGACCTGGCCTCAAGGTTTGGATGATGGCTAAAAAAGCCAGTCCACTTCGCCAGCTGGACTTGAAATCAGTGACACTGACAGAGCCATGCCTATCCCAGAAATGAGTGGAAACAAAATGTTAGGACCAATTTAGAAATAGAGTATAAATTCAATAAAATGGAGTTTGAACCAAATCCAAAAGCACCTTGCCACTGAACTTCTGCATAAGTCAGGCAACAACACAGCCAGTACTACCAATCACAACAATTACTTATTTTTAAAAGATGAGTATTTCTTTTTGTCTTCTATTGCATTCTGAAGATAAAGCCTTGCTAATCCAAATCCTCTCTAAACATCACTTTTGTGCTCAACATCTATGCATTCTATGGGGTGGAAAAGCAACAAGAAAAGCACTGCAGAACATGTATTTGCTTGTAATGACACCAAGAACTGGCATTTTAGAAAATCCAAATCTTAAAAGCAATGTATTAGTGCAGGAAAAAGTATTTCTTTTTCTCTTATTTAGCTTAGTGTCCTTAAATCATTGTTTATTAATGTTCACAGCCTGTATAGTGCTGTGAGGTGCCCAGCCATAAAGGCCACAGCAAATTCTGGGACAACTTTCCAAAAACAGTCTGTATGTTATGAGTATGTTACAACATGGAAAAGATGTGGGATTTCAGGCAATCAAATTCAGTCACAAAACAATGGGCCAAGTCTTCCAAGATTTGTTTCTTTACCAAAAACTACAGGATTCACTGGCAACAAAATATTTCAACATAATGCCAGTTCAGAAATGAGACTGCAAATCAGACAGCAATACTGCTGAAAAACAAGCAAAAGAAAGAGGAAGATTACATGGATAATGAGCTGGTTTTGATGTGTCAATTGATCTTCTGATAAAACAGAGCTAGAAGGCAAACCTCAGTGCCATTCTACTGGCAGAAAGTGTCTGATGTGCTGATGAAGGCCTTCATCTCCCACTAATAACATGGAATATTAGTAGGATTTTATTAGAAAATAAAACAACCCAAAGAGCTGAGGAGAAAGAGTTGACATTACTGTAAAGCATATTTGGAAGATCCTGGAGTGAAGCAGCAGCCCTTGAAGAAAATGTAAATATCTGTATCTGCTCTAGATTGTGTGCTGTGAGCAGCCCCCCTGAAAGCAGCAGTGCTATCTGTATATCAAACAGAGGGAAACATCTTGTTAGAATTAGGGACTAGGACCACCAGGATTAGCATCCTTCTTTGGGATCATGAAGTGTTTTGACAGAAAAGCATAAGGATCATAGAAATCCTACACTTTCCATTAAAAATATTAAAAAATCCTTGAGACTTTGTGAATCAGTGCCAACCATGAGGATTAAAAGAAGTAAAGCATGTAAACATTCAACTAGACTTATCACACAGGAGCCCCTAAAAAAGAAAAGCCAAAGAACTCAGATTACACTGTTGTGTTTAATTAGTAAGATGAGCTTCACTTTATTATATTTAAAAGGCTCATGTCAAAACATTTGGCCCTGACTGATGCCGAAAGTACTGGTAACCACAAGTGAAAGTTAAAGGATATTCTGCTATGCTGTCACTAAGTAATCTTAAAAACAGGAGGAAATACCACTACATTTAGAGGAAAGCAGTGATACAAAGTGTAACATGATAATTGTAAATCTTGGATGGAACTTACAGGGAACACTGTTCTTTTGCCCACAACAAAAGAGCCTTTGTAGCAGACATCTTCCACCGCTCCTTAATTTTAGCACTTTTTTTAGCTGATCTGTTTGCCTTTGGAGAGGAGTCAACAGCACTTGGACAATCAGGTGAAGGCTGATTGTAGGTACAGGCAAGTGTCCTGGCCAGTTCTTCAATCTGTCAGGGAAGATAGGAGACTAAATGAGGCTTCAGTGAGAGATTCCCAAGGCACCAAGGGCAGAACACCACAGAGAACCAGACAGGACTCAACCACAGGTGTAACACAGGTGTAGCTTCCCTGGCCCCCAAACTCAAACCAGGCTTTTTAATTTGCACAATCTGAACTATTTAGTGCTGAATTCCCATCTTCAGGCAATTTTTTTGGCAGGATATATTCACCCAAAGATTTCTGTGTTATGCTGTCATTGCTGCCAGCAATGACATCAAGGGATCTTCTCACTCAATTTCTACTCTAACCAGTGACAGGACTCTATTTTCTGCTGTCAGGAGTGACATGTTCTAGGCATAGTCAGAGTTTGCCTGCTCACTCAGAGTGCAGGAAAACCTACCTGACAGCCCTCAGAGATCCCTATTTGGTTGGAGAAGCCTGGCTTAGGCAAAAAGGTAATTGCACAGGCCATAAGCAGCACAAGACTCTTTGGCATCACAGTACCTCTACCACAAAAAATAAGGGCTAAATATTTTCTAAATGATACAAAATTTTGTTTCTTAGTGCTCTTCTGAGTCCCAGTCACCAGTTAGTTCACCTACATTTGCTGGGTTCTTCCTAGAAGCCAGCTTGGCTCCAGCACCCTCTGCAGCCCTACAGGATGATTAAATCAAGACCCTGTGCTTTCACACCTCCCCATAACCTCATGCCATGCAAGGTGCACGCTCTTATGCAATAAGAAACATGACTTTGACATCCTTTGTGTTATTTCAGGTGCTAGGACTGAAACAAAAACAAAAACAAAAAAAAATCAACAAAAATTGGATGTTGTAAGCACAGTCAGCACTGAGGAGTGGGGTTGCCTCTGAGAGATGGATGCACCACTTCACACTATCTGCACTTTTTGGAGTTCAATCATTACAGACCTCAGATAAACAAAATTTAGCCCATTTTTTAACTGGTTACTTAAAAAAAAAATCTCAGTATCTTTTCTTCCTACCATTTGCAGCTGGATATTGTTTATCACTACCAGCCCCTGCATTGGTGCATCTCCTCCTTGAGATGTCACTTCCACATGTCAGAAAAATAATCTTTTGTTCTGTACTAATTCATCTTATTTAGCAATCATGTAAGTCAACACATTTTTGTGATTTTCCCCTCTACTAAAGCTCTCTTACATTGCTGAGATACTTACATGAAAATGAAATATAATGGTCCAGATTAGGCCAAGCACAATGGAAGGTTTTCCTTCAATAATGTCAGCTACATGAATATTTATGAGCTTCAGCTAAGGAAGGGAAAAAAGGGATCATTGTTAACAAAGAAAATGTTCCACCAGCTAAACTGGCTTTAGTTGTGAATTTTGAAGTTAATACTCACTGATCTGCTCTTTAAAAATGTCAAAGCATTTTCTATATTACTTCTACATTGGAAGGTATTAAATCCTTTTTCCCGTGGCTGCAAAGCAAAAAAAAAAAAACAAATAGGTTATATCTTTAACTGCAAAAATTAATTTTATTCTATATTTTGAAAAGGGAAATCCAGCAAAAATCCATAAATTACTTTGGATCAACTTACTTCAGTGTGCTTCAATGGTATAAAAATAAGTTACTTGAAACTAACTCTTACGGCTCCAGAGGGATGATTCATATGGCTGCACTTAAGCATATCCAGAAATCTTTGCTGGACTTGACAAAGGATTGAGGTAATATTTTTATTACTCTGTCTTACCAGATGTTGACCTGAAAGCACTTCCAACAGATCCAGAAGCAAATGTCCTTGCTGGATGTCTGTGTACAGGTCTGAGACAACATAAGGAGGGGTATGCTGCAAGATAAATTTCAGCCTTTTGACATTTTGAATTCAACGCACTACAAAACATCACAGATTACTCTACTCTTAAATAATGTTTAGCAACCTTTATTTTTTTCATTAAGCAACAATAAAAATCCTGCATCTAAACAGCCACATCCTGTGTCTTCTAACCTATTACTATGTTTGTGTCTTAATCCCTCTCTCTTGTCCTGCCTCTTTGTTTTATAAAGGTAATTTTAGGCCTCACTTTCAAGCACTTAAATTTTTCAAGGAGGTCTGGGGCAAAAGAAAAATAATTGAGAAAAGGAAAGCTAAATAAGGCAGTTAATTAATATTTTGAGATCTTACTCAATATTAAGTACAAATTTGAGTACAGAGCTGCTATAAACTAAACCTCTTTTCACCCACACAACACAAACTTATCAGCAGCTTCTGCTCAAGGAGTGACCAAAACCAAATTATATTTTGTTTTCACCTGAACAAGTCAGAGCCCCAGTACACGCTGCAGGAGCTGTTTTCTGAGAGCTTAAGGAGCACTTCCACTACTATGTGGTTTGTCTTAATACTTACCAGTCACTCAGGCCATCTCATTAAACTCACGTTCTTGGATTGCATAATAGAATAACACTTACCTAATCCCAGTAAAACCAACTGTAAACTCAGAAACTCGTAAAAGCCTGAGACATGTGCCTCAATCCACCACAAGTTTTACCACATGAGTAAGGAGAGTGACATCCACACACAAACCACCTCATACAAATGTCATTGGACATGTCCCAATAAAATGCTGTTGCACTTACTAAACAAATGTTTCTCAGGGCTACTTTTCCCATCCAGTGACTAAAAACACTTGTAGTAATTTTGTTTGTTCCTAAAAAATGTAATCTCTAACCAGCATATCTGAATGAAAAAGGCATGTCTTTGCTAAAGAGCCCCTGTTTACCTTTGCCAATATTGAATTTATCCAACTAGTGAAGGTTTTCTTCTGTGTAAACTCTCGCTGGACTGGAAAATAAAACCAAGAAAGAAACCAAAGTTAATGGAAATAATGATCAGGTTTCATTCCTCTTTCCTAAAAAGACACCTCAAACACAAAGTCTGTTCTTCCAGATATTAAGTTGCTATTTAATATCAGTTTTTCTCAACTCCTGTTTTATAGCTGGTATTTTCTTGCTTGCTGAGTTGCAAAAAACTCTACAACCATCAAGCATAACCTACAGGATGCAGAGAATAACTAATGAAGGTTTTCTCAGAAGACAGCAAATACAAAGAGCAGTGTGAAAGCATAATTCTACAGACAAGTATGTCTACAATAGCTCTGTCCATTCCTAAGTGTTCCTTCAAGAACTCAGGGCCATCATCAGTACAAGATACATCCTGGAAGTTGGAAAAAGCCACGCATTAAGTTGGATGCAGGCTGGAGTTAGGTGATAAATGCACACCTGCAGGTGAAGCTACAACATGAGAAATCATTGCTAACTGAAGGGCTGGAGAGAGTTAGGAGGCTGTCATGGAGAAATACAGCCTCTACCAGCATCCTTTCCACTGCTGGGCCCTCTCTGGGGTGTACACATTATTAATTCAGCTGATGCCTTAGGTTTTAGATTTTATATTTTTCACATTCTGTGCTGCTTTAGTGTGCAGTTCTGAGCTTCATATCAGGGGGCGGTGAGCTCTCTTCACAGAGCAGGGAGACAAACCAATTCCTTCTCTAGCTGGGAACCAAGGACAAATGATCCAAATCTCAGGCCCAAGAGCACAAACAAGGTGGGCTGAAGAGAGAAAAACAAGAAGGATGGGACTTCATAAGATAAAGCTGTAATTAGACAATTCCAATATGCAAATAGACCAGAACTTATAAAAGTGAGAGAGCTCCTGATTGATTATCCATTGTGTGACCATTTTGGTTCATCTTGAGTGTAGCTCTGGCTGGGCTCTTGTGCTGCCCAAGGTGGACCCATTGAGGCCTTTTAATAAACCCCTGCTTTATTCTTTAACTCTGTCCAGCCTTTGCTCTAGGTCAGCCTTCTCAAGGCATCATAGCCAAAAAGGAGCACACAGGGTGTTAAATACAGGCAAGAGGAAGAAGAAAGTGCTTGAACTTGTGCTGCAGCAGAAAACAGTGAAATGGGACTCAAAGCATGACCCAGTGACACAGAGGAGCAGCTCTGCACCCAGGGCCCTCGTGGTGCCACACAGTGAGCAAAAACCAACCAGCAGCTCTGCAGGGAGACAGGGAGCTGGTTAAGCCCATGTTTTAAAAACCAGAGTATTTTAATAGCTTGTCACACTTGCCTGTGGGTAGCAGAGATGGAGCAAAGTCCAGTTCCCCCAGAAGGTGAAGCAGAGGGCGAGTAGCAGAGTTGGACCAGAGCAGCTCCCCAGCCCCATCAGGGGCAGTGCATTACCTGACTTGCCAGCCCATGCTCCCTCCCAAAATATCACTCAATTTCTAAGACACACCACAAAACCCACACGTCCCTAGGGGCTGGAAGTCTGAACACAGGTGACAAACAGAGGTGCTGGCCTCTGAGATGATGGACTCACATCTGCCACCAGCAGCCATCCCACAGGCTGATGAGAGCCAGCCTGAACACAAACTCCCTTTTATCTCCTTTTCCACAGAAGCCTTGACTGCAAGCACTGGGGCTGGCTTCCCAGAAAAGGCTTGCATGGAGAAACAAATCTGGGAGACAGTGTGGGAACAGACCATCTCTTCTGCCTCTAAAGAAAGCACATTCTTGCTCAATAGATTAATTGAGGGAGGGCAAGCTTGACATTGTAAGGAATGTGCAAGACTTCTCAGCAATAGATATGTATGTTTTGGTAGGCTGGGCAGGATGAAGGATACCAAAAATACCATGCCCTTGGGGAAAAAAAAAAAAGTTGACTGTTCCGCCCATGAAAGTGAAAATGCCACTCACAGGAAAATGCCCCACACTTTACTAGTCTGGAAATTTGCAACCACAAACCCCACTTGTGGGGTCTTTTCATAATCCAAGACAGACCAAAAGAGCTTCTGTGGCGCTTCATCAGCTCATGAAAAACAGAAATTCATTCGAGGATAAGCCAGGCTCCTGCTCCTCACCCCACAGGCTGCCTTCTGCCTCACTGGGAGGGTGAGCAGCACCAAAAACATTCCCATTACCTGTGTGCAGCACTGCTTTGCATCCTGTAGTGAAGGCATCTTTCAACAGCCCTCCACTAATCTGCAACACCACCATCCTCTCAGGGAGTGAAGCAACCAGTTTCCCCTGCTGGCTGGGTTGTTTTAGGATTCTTTCTAAGCATCACAAAGATTGTCCTTCAACAGTAAGATAAGGGCAATCTTAGTGAAAAAAAATTCTGAAAAATGCATATTTTATGATTGGCTTTTCGCAAATATTACAATGGATATTTTATGTGTAATGTTAGAAAGTTGTGCTGTATTAATTCTCTTAAGTAGTGTGATAAATGTAGTTTTAGGTTACAAAAATGTTAAAATAGAAACTCTGTGATACAGAATTTGTTACAAGCTCAAGCAGGAAGATGAGATAATCGAGAAACTCTTCACACAGAGATGTCAGTGAAGGGGGCCCATAAAAAGTTATTGCCTCCTTATCAGAAAAGACAAACATTCTTCCACCTGCTCTCCATCTTTTTGGAACCACCAAGAATAAGGAGAAGTTGACAAAAACCAGAAAAGTTCTTAATTTGCAATGAATTTATGCATCATGTATGAGAGATATAAATATATTAATATGCAACAGGCTATTGCTTTTAAGGTTATTCCTTTGTTCACAAGAAATGCTTTTCATGAGTTAGTGTCCAAGAGCATCTGGACATCTGTAATTCTTTGCTTTTTATTGTCTTGTAATTGTCCCAACTCTAAATTGTATTACTCTAATTGTATTACTATTTTTGTAATAATTTTATTATAATAAAACTTCTAAAAAATTTAAAAACCAAGTTTTTAAGATTGGTGTTTTTCACAAAAACGACATGACAAAATTGGGTTTTGTTTGGAAAACAGAAAATTAAGTGTGCACAAGGCACGCAGACCAAACAACGCCGCAATGCTCACAGGGAGGACAAAAATAGTGTGGAGATACTGGCTTCATGTTAGCACAGGAGCCAAGCACACCCTTCAGCTGAAGGCCACGTGGGAGCCAGCCCAATTACCCAAGCAGCAATTATTGAGTGGCTGCGCTCAATTTTATCAGGCTGGCATTGCTAGCATCTGAAAAGGGACAGAGAGCAAATATTGACTGCTCTGCCTGACGCCAGTGGCTGCTGCAGCTCTTGCCAAACACACACTGCTGCTGCTGATTCGAAGAACTTGCATTTGAGGTTGGTTGCAGATGGATGGGATGAGACACTTGGCCTTGTTTTGGTAGACACTATTAAAATGCTTCATTATGCAATAGGGACTGCAGATACTGCAAGTGTTGATTCACAGGCTCTCAGGCAAATGCCTCATGTGGTGAAAGCACAAGGTGGTTATTCCACACGTAACAGCACCTTAAACCCTCCACAAGCTACCTAACACAACCCACTGGGCTGTCCTCCAAGCAGCTGCTGCCTCTGCTGCAATGTGCCTTTTTTCCTACCCAAACAAATAATAATAATAGAATCTCTTCCCAAATTAATAGCAGAACTCCATGCTTGCTAGTCAGGGTTTCCACACCACACACACTCAGTACAGATGTGCTCCTGGCACCCTGGCAGGCAGTTGTATTGCAGTTTTCAGGCTGAATGTGTTTTCCCTCCCAGCTCCCCCTCCAATACTGCTGCTCAGAGGTGCTAATGATTTAATCAAGCTCTCCAATTCTTATCTCTACCACGTGGTTAATTAATACAGATTTTTATTTTTATGAGGGTGAATGGATTCTTTGTTAGGCCTTTTTGTAGGACTCTAACTGACCTTGGTTTTTCTCTTGCCCTAGTTTTCAAAATGTCACTGACCTAGAATAAAAAAGCTACAAAACCCCCCAAACCCTGATCATCCTCTTTACTTTGGGTCAAAACTCACTAAGCTAAAAAGTGTATCTGAGAGAACAGAATAAGAACCTGGTAATCTGAAAATACCCAAATCTATCACATTTCACAAGAGTTGTGTTAACACATACAAGCAATGTGTCACGTAGGATAGCCAAAAATCAATACACTCTGCTGGACAATGACTGTTTTATTCAGTAATGAGCTACCAACAAGTGCTACAAGCCAGGCTGATCATTAGGAGCACAGGGACCATGTGAGTGCTGAACTCTCCCAGGAGGGAAAGGAGAGCAGCAGCACTGCCAGCCACTGTTTTACTCTCAGCCTTCCTTACAGTGTGCTGCAGAAGAAAAACAAGACTTAAAATTAGTCTACTCTCCCCTTCTACCTTTCATGCCTCCCTTCCTGAGGTGGGGGAATGGCAGCTCCAAGGAAAGCACCATCTCCTCCTTCAGCAGGGAGCTGGGGGAAGCAAATCACGGCAGAACAGATGCAGCCTGTCCATCCACAGACATCAAACACTGCCATCAAACAGCAAAGATGATTTCTTCTATCACAACAACTTGTGTACCACTGCCAGTGAACAATTTACAACTGTATGAACTCTTTTTAGAAAAAACTAAATGTAAGAAATCACTTTAATGAGCACAAGCCTGTCTGTCATCTCCTCTCTGTTTCACCAGGAGGAATTACCTCTTGTGTATGATATTTTTACATCTTCCTTTCAGCACTGAGGTCAGCTGAGGCTGTGTCTGCAGCAGTGTGCAGGGAGCTCATCAGCAACAGATCAAGAGAGCTGCTGCTCACAACACGGTGTGTTCACAACCATGTGTGCAGGAACAAAGGTTGTGTTGGACTAACTCCAGCCCCAATGGCCACAGACAGCCACAGCACCTTCCTTATTTCAGTTTCATTCAAAATAACCATTTCCACACTCCCTGACAGCACAGGAGAATGAGCCAAAGGATGGGCAGCAGGGATAACCAGGAGAGCTCTTTCAAGAGAGTACTGCTGGTATGAACTAATAC